GTGGTCTGCTGCCTTTGTTGCTGTCCAGTGAATAAACTGGGAGGACAGCAGCTCACAGGCCCATGGCTAGGATGCTGGTGGAGGTCAATGCTGTGTTCCTCCTAGAGGCCGTCTGCCCAGTCCTAGTTCTTGGGATACTGTATCCCTTTGCATTCCTGGAGCCTCATATATCTCCCTTTGTCCCCTTGCTCCAGTCTTCCTGCAAAGAGAACCCCTTCAACCGGAAGCCATCGCCTGCCACCTCTCCCTCGGCAAAGAAACCTCCCAAGGGCTCCAAGCCAGCTCGTCCTCCTGCACCAGGTCATGGTTTCCCACTGATCAAGCGCAAGGTAAAAAGGCCCTCGGGAGCAGGGGGGCAAAAGCCAGCTCTGTACCATCCCCCAGAGCTGCAGCTGTGGTTGCTAAGTCCTAAGATGCGCTCTTGGCATGCAGCCAGCCTTGAGGGGCAGATGTATAGGTGCCCTACTGGTGTGTCAGCAGGTAGGGACCACAGCATGAGACTATAGGTGGGGAGGGTGATGTCAAGGCTAGATTACATTGATGGCAGCACCCTGGTCTCCCTTTATTTCAGGGTAGGGTGGGGATTGCAGTCAGCTCTTAGGTGGAGTGTCCTTTGTCCCCTGCTCAGTATAGACCACCAGCCTTAGGGTTACCCCTAGAAACTGGAGGTTGGTGGTGACAGGAGGTCTCCGCTATGTGGCTCGGCAGGTGCAAACAGATCAGTACATCCCCGAGGAAGATATCTATGGGGAGATGGATGCCATTGAGCACCAGCTGGACCAGCTGGAGCACCGCGGCGTGGCCTTGGAGGAGAAACTTCGCAGTGCCGAGAATGGTATGTGGACTGTGCTGTCCTTTGGCTGTGGGGCAGGACGGACCCTCGGGCTGTCCTGTCTCCAGCAGGGTAGATAGCAGCAGTGACTTCCTCCCTGTTGATGCTGAAGATGAGGGACCACAAGTGGCTGCACTGGGCTCCAGGAAAGTTCACAGCTATACCCTTGACATGGAGATGTCCCTAAAACAAGAGGAAGTGAGAAGGAGGATGGGGAGGAGGGAAGGTCTCTTTGGGCTCAGAAGCCAGCTGAGGCTGGGTTGATTCTAGGCGGCTGCCCTGGCTCAGCAGAGCCTAGCCTGCTGCGTGACGTCAGGATCATACGGGGCTGGGAACGGCTCTGAATTTTCCCTTTGCTTGGCAGACAGCCCTGAGGACAGCCTGCTGGTGGACTGGTTCAAACTCATCCATGAGAAGCACATGCTGGTGCGCCACGAATCGGAGCTCATCTACATGTGAGTGTGGGTGTGTGTGAGGGGGGAGGTGCTGACCCTGCTGCTAGGAGCCCTGTCTCAGCCTTCCCAAAGTCATGCTTCCAATGGATGGTCTGACATGGCCTCCTTTCCTGGAGAAGTGGGAGGAAGAAGGCAAGCAGGCAGGCTTTGCACTGTGTCCAAACAAAACTGACATGCTGCAAGTCACTGATGGCCAGAGTCCCTGCAGCATCTCCTCCAGGAAGGCTTTGAAGGTGGGATTGGTACGTGGTGGGGCTAGGCTCCCTGGGTGCTTGGTCCTTGTGCTCTACAGGATAAGACCAGCATCTCGGTGGTTCTTTGCAAGCCCACCCTGTATTGCGGGATGATGTTCTGCCCCTCTGGAGCCTTGCAATGGTTTCCCAGCAGCGTCCCCCTTCCTTGCAGCTTCAAGCAGCAGAACCTGGAGCAGCGGCAGTCAGACGTGGAGTACGAACTGCGTTGCCTCCTGAACAAGCCAGGTAAAGTGCCATTCTAGGTGTAGTTATCCCCATTTTTCCCTGGACGTTCATCTCCCCTCCATCGTGGCAGGACTCTGGAGAAGAGAGCCAGATCTTTAGGGAGGCCAGTGCATTCAGCTGGCTTTGGAGACACTGCCCCATCTCATCACCTGCCCCAGCCTTGGGCAGAGAGGTGTTCCCTTTGCACCATGGTGGGCGCTGGGATGCCCCTCCGCAGCACCCATAGCCCAGCTGGCCCTGCAGCGTGATAGAGTAGAAGGGGATCACTCTTGCAGGTGACTGGCTCAAGCGCCAGTGCCAGATTCAGAGCTCCTTCAGTCATTTAATCGCCTGCCCTTCTTTGGGGGCTCTGGTGGGTAGAGAAGGACTGGACCGATGAAGACCGAGTGAGAGAGAAGGTGCTGATGCAGGAGCTGGTGACCATCATCGAGCAGAGGAACGCCATCGTGAACTGCCTGGATGAGGACCGGCAGAGGTGAGGAGCGAGATGAGCTGGGGGAGAGGGGAAGGGGATGGCCTTTCTGACCCTGTGCCGCCTGCTGCCTCTGGGGATATCCCAAGATGTCCCTGTTGCTGACAGGTCTTTCCCAGGCTTCCCAGACCTTGTCTCTTTGAATGGCTTGTGTGGGAAAGACAGGGCAGCACTTACAGCATGTGGGATTGATCGCGGTAGCAAAGGCTCGCGAGACAGTGGTGGATCCACCCCTCTGTGGCTTATAAGTAGGAGGTTCTCTAGCCTTAAACAATACAGCAGCTGTTTTCAGGGCAGAATTGCTGACCTATTTCCCACTGTTTCTTTCAGGGAAGAGGAGGAGGATAAAATGCTAGAAGCCATGATTAAAAAGAAAGGTAAGAAATGATCAGGAAGGTTCTAGTTATGATTTTGCTGCAGACCGCAGCAAGGGGCAGCATTAACCGTTTATCAGATTGTGTGGGGAAGGAGAGATTGTTCTGTGCAGCCTCTGGAGCCTTTCCTGTAGGGCCATTAAGGTTTGGGGCACAGCCGTGCTGTGCAATCCTGTTGTCACAGAAAGAAGTGTGCATGTAGTGGAGGGCTTTGAACCATTGCTTTCACCTCTGCCCCTGTTGTCACGTGTATGTGTGTGTACAACCATCAGCATCACATACTAACAACCCCATTTTGCAACCCCAGAATTTCACAAGGAGACCGAGGCTGAGAGCAAGAAGAAAGGCAAATTCAAGCCCATGAAGGTGCTTAAGCTGCTGGGCAACAAGCATGACTCCAAGAGCAAGTCTCCCAAGGAGAAAAGCTAGAGCAGGGGAATGCCAGCAGCGGGAGGGATGTGCTGTCCAACTGCCCTGTGCTCCCTGCAGCTGGCTGGGAGGCCTGCCAGGAAGGACTGGTGTCCCTCCACTCTCCTCACATCTTTCCAGAAGCTGTGCCTCTCCCCAGGCACCAGAGCTGACGCCTCCCCAGGGAGCCGCCAGCCCTCAGGAGAGTCTGACCACGGTGCTCCCCTTTCTGAGGCTGTGGAGGGGTCCAGCGGAGGAGAGTGACGGTGCTCCTTCCCCTCTGTGAAGCCTTGCTAACGAGGTGGGGAGAAGATGGATTAGCTTTTCGGAAATGTTACCCTGTTGTGTGTTTCTGTTATTGAGAAGTAAGCCGAGGAGTTTGGTGTTTGTGGGAAAACTTGCACTAACTGCCCCAGTCCCTTTCTCCTGCTCTAACTGTGACAGTTCCATGTGCCTCTGACCCCCACCAGGAGGGAACAGGGCCTGACTGTCCCTCCCTGCCCTCCCACTCTTGTCCCTTTCCTGTCCCAATTTTAACTTTAGGAGAAAACTCTGGCCTTAAAAGCAGGATTCTTTGGGTTTTACTGGCCTGAACTAAAATGTTAACAAAACACTCCTGCAGCACAAGGTCCTAGAGGCATAGCCAAAAAAAAAAAAAAATGGTGCCCTATTTATTTTGAGATTTATTTTGAGATTTATTTTTTGAGATTTCCCCTCCCACCGAAGACTTTTCTCCCTCGAGCACCAGGGCTGGGCAGGCTCCATTACAAGGCTGAGAGGACCCAAGAGGATAATGTATTTCTGCTAGGATGCAGCCTATATGCCCTACTCAGGACATCTTACCCCCCCGCCGCTGCTGCTAAACAGACTGACTCTGCTGCCTTTATGGGGAGGGAGGAACATTCCTTTTCCAGACAAGGGCAGAAAAGCGCAAGATTTACTCAGTGCCGGCAAGGGGCAGCTTGTGCCCCTGCTCACCAGTGCCACCCTTGAGCAGCTGGGGAGAGGGGCGCAGGTCACCACTGACCGTTCCCCAGCTTTGTCTGTATATACTTTAAAAGTGTGCAAAAAGGGTTTGGCTGGTTATTTTCTACACCTCCTTTACTAGATGAATTCAAACCCACCCAAAACTTTTTAAACCCTTATTTTATTTGTCGTGTTTGTGTGTGTGTGTGTGTGTGTGTGTGTATATGTTGGAGGAGGGAATGGTGGAATGGTATTCTTCCAGCCATCCCTTCTTCCCTCCTCCTCTTTTTTTTTTTTTTTTTTGTTTCCTGCCTTCTCCTCCAAGGCGAGGAGCTATTTATTGAGTTGTTCGATCAGTCTGAATTAGACACTGAGTTTCATGGCTGTTTGCCTGGTCAGCTGTTTTCATGCCTTCTCATTATTAGCAAATTAGACATACCAGCCCTGAGCAAACTGCTGCAGTGCGTTCTAAAAATTCCAACAGGCTTTATCCAAAACACTCTCCTTTAGAGCAGTGCCTTGCAACATGGCTGGTGTAGCATTCTAGAAGGGGATCCCCATTTCCCAAAACCTGAGGGACCTGAGCCTCACCTCAGTCCCAGCGTAGCCCCCCACAGGTGGGAGCTGGAAAGCTCAGTCCCACGCTGGTGACACCATCTCACTCTTGCCATACCCCAGCTGGCTGATCAGGAGCAGTGGTAGGGAAGGAGAGATCCCAAAGCACAACTCTTCTCCGAGAAGCAAATTTGCTTTAGAGCCTGCTGTCATGTCACTGTTGCCAAAGGGCATTGGGATCGTGCAGTCTGACACCCCTTGGCCCCGCTCCTGGTCAGACCTTTGATTTGTAAATTACACTGTACTAACTCTGTGATTTCCCTTTACCTGAGCAGAAATAAAACCTTGGAGTTAAAAACCGATCATGGCTTAGGTTTTATTCCTTTCTGCACACACGCTGTCCCAGGGACAGGGTGTGCTGCCTGGCTTTGGGGAGTGGTTGACTAAAGAGTATTACTAAAAAGCAGATAGAACTAAAAAAAAAAAAAAAACACAGCGAGCCTGCTCACAGCAAGAGCAGAAAGCCCTGAGCTGAAATCCCTTCTCCCTCCTCAGCACAGCTGTGTTCCTGAGTGCCTGCCTATTTTAACTGCTGCTGATGCACACACTCACTCAGAACTACAGTAATATTAGAAGTTCATGTTTGCATGAGGCCACACTGCATCTTCCTCCCTGCCACCTGCCAGCATAGCCGTTCCCAGAGCGATGCAGACAGAAGTAGGTCATAGATGTGGACAGTGACACTCGTGTTAGCGTCTCACCGTCAATAGAAACTGCCGGGCTTTGGGTTGTATGGAAAAAAGGAGTGACGTTTTTCTCTGTGAATTGTTGTGCTCTGCAGCACTGCATAGCGAAAAGGAGGCTCTGCTTTGTCATAATTTTAAAGGCTTTTCCTCTATGTTTTCTTCTCCTTAATATTGTTGAGCAAGACTGCCCCTTGCAGAAGGGATCTGATGCGTGGGTAGGATTTTGCAACAGCTTTCTTCTGTTACTGGCTGTGCATAAATTATTCCTGCCTTCTGGCTTTAGGCAGCAGGTGCTACTGCCCCCTCTTCAAGGGGATCCTTGAGAGACGGACAGACACAGACCAGTCCTTAAGACTCAGATGATAAGGGAAGAAGACCTGGGACTAAATTGTTCCGGTGTTTTTTCTGGGCCTAGTCATGGCCATCAGATTTGTTCCCAATGGGAAAGTCTTTTGTTGCGATCTCTCTCATTTCCTTGCTTCTCTTCTTGTCAATGATCTCCATCTCCCGCAGTTTCTGCAAAGCGCAAAGAAAGGCCTGAGTGGTGAGCATGCCAGGAGCTCCTACTTTTTTTTTGCCAAAGCCAAGAACAAAGGTTCTTCTTCCCTAGACTAAGTTACATGCAGACATGGAAAGAAAAGCTGAAAACCCCTCTCCCCCAGTCCCCTAAATTCACACCTGCCCCGTGCCATGAAAAAGAACGCTCATTTCTCTGCCTCTTCCCAGTCTTTCCCATGCACCACGCTCGGTTATCAGAGGGCTCAGATTTCTAACACCACGGATTCCCTCTACATGCTGTAGCACCAATGCCCCCAGGGCCCTCACGTACCTGTGAGATTTCAGTGAGGACAATCCCTCGATACTTCTTGCCCTGTCCTAAAGCTTCCATATCTGCCAGGAACTCCTTCCTCTCCTGAACTTCATTCACCACTAAGCCCAAGGAGAAGAGAAAATAACGTGCAAACAGAATGCAGCCAAAAGGCAAGCAAGCACTTTTCTGTTTAGCTCTGAACCCCCAACTTCCTAGCTCCACTGGAACGGAGGTCCCACCAGGGGAAGGATGATATCTACTCTAACAATTATCTTGACCATGTCACCAAAACATCTCAGCAGTTTTTTACGTAACAGGAGTACTTCCCCCACGCCCCCAGCCCCTTTCTCTACCTTGCCAGAACAGTAACTTTCTAGTTTTTTATGTGCAGGCAACACTGTTGCTTGCAGGCATTTTATCCAGTCTGTGGATGGAGATAGAAATCGTCTTAAATCTGTTGAGGTTCACTAGTCCACATGCAGCACCAAGTAACCACACACAACCATATTTGGTTGCAGGACCAGCTCATGCACAGAAGCACTTCAGCTGCTTTTTTGCAGCACAGACCCGCAGCCAGTTCCTGAAACAACACCTGACACAGCACAGTACACGAGTACTTTAGATGTGTCAAGGACAACAGTGAGTTTGAGACAAGTTTTATAGGATCCAAAGCACGCGTGGAGCCAACCACGCTGGTTTCCGTGCATCAGGGACCAAACCACCCCTTGCAAACACATTATCTGCGTGTTGTCATTCTTTCTTCTGCCCTGGTTAAGGAAGAGCTAGCTGGGGTGCATGCATGCATTGCAGTTTCAGGCACACAGAGTTATAGAAGGCAGGGTTTTGCCATCCCAGAAGACTCTGTAGGCCAAAGTACATCACTACCTAAAATTCTTCTCTACATTTAAGCTTTGCTAGTGTAACTGCACTGATTTGGGAGCAAAAGAAAATGCAGCCCAAGCCACACTGAGGCTGGCAAAAGTCCTAGTCTACATGGAGTTAGACCGGCTGGAAGAAGGATCCACAGCAGCTGGGCTTTCTGCCGAGGTTACCCTTGCAAACCGCTAAGGTAGTCCTGTGCCAACAGAGTTGATTTTGTATGGGCAATCCAGAGAGCGTGACTCTGTCAGCAAACCTTTGCAGTATAAATTCTGCTAGGAAAGCTGGATCAGTGTCACAGCAAAAAGTCCTTTCTCTTGGAAACTGGGCTTTGTGCCTCCTTCCGCAGTGGGCTTCAGATTGCTGGCTACATGGCCTGCCACTCCAGCTCTTAGAGGGAGCTGAGTTCCCAGGCCTCCCCATGTGCCTCACTCTAGCATCCTTTACATACGTTCTTCAAAGCGGTCAAGCTCAGGTGTCTCCTCTTCCTTCGCCTGAACCAGCGTCGGCTTCACTTTGTGCTCCACCACATCCTTCCCTGTCGCCAAGATATTTTGGAGTCTTTGCTTCTCCCTTTCCAAATCTCCTGTGAATTGCAAAGAAAAGAAAACTATTAGCAGCCTGTCTCCTCAGGGAAGGAGCCTGGCCGCATTGCTTCTCTCCAAATGATGGCAGAGGAAGCATTATGTTAATGACAGCCCATCTCCAGACTGAACTGCGCAGCCCTACACAGATGTACTTGCAGTGAAGAGGCAACCAAACTGACATCAAAGGTCTGATTCACATTTATAAACTGGAAAATATATATAGTATTCCCTTCTTAGGCAAGGATCACATGAGTTCCTATTACCTATCATCTTCCTAACCAAGCAGGCGTTGGCAACGAGCGTTTACAGATGTTCCCTCAGAGCTCTCTTTTTATGCATCTTTGAAGACAGAAAGCGTGAGGATGAAGAGCAACTAAGAAACCCCCCTAAGGTTACTGAGATGGCAAACAGCGCATGGATGTAAGGGACTGGGCAGCAGGATTTATTTATTAGTGACATTTGCTGACTTACGCCTTGCCTGTGGTTTGAATTTCTCTCTGGTATAGGCATCTCCTGCCTGGCAGATCTTGGCAGGTCGAAGATGTGGTTTAGCTGGAAGCCTGCCTGGCAGACAAAGCTTTGGGGGAGAGAAGGCAGACTCTGCAGGCTGTGGCTCTTTGCTGGATGTGGGGTTGCACTGGAGGGGCAGGGTATCTCCTCCTGGAGGTCAAAGGAAAAATACTGGTAAGTCGGACACAGAGGAGCCTATGGCTTGATGGCCTTGGACCAGCAGAAGGTCTGCCTAGTGATCCACCGGAGTACAGTGAGCAAAGATCCCAAGTACCACAGATGTCTTACCCAGTTATTGGTTCATACGGACATGAGCGAGACTGGTTCAAGTCCCACCATTACGTTTTCTTCGCTGGACTGACCCTTGGGGACACCTCGCCCAGCACAATGTCAGCAGCAGCTCTACTGCTATTTTAAAGGCAAAAGTACAACAATGAAAGGAAGAGGCAGGCCAAGGTTGGACGGTTTTCTCTATGAGAACAGTTTCCACTACAACATATGAAAACAGAGATCAGGAGAGTTAGGCTGGACCTGATGCTGACAAGAACATGACTTCCTCCCAAGTACTGCCCATTCATTTGTTTCTTGCCCATCCACCTAGTCTGCAGGCCAACGTTCTTCGTCTCATGGTGAGCAACACAAACTCAGCAGCACAGGGTGGAGAGCAAGATGGATGTTACTCACGTTTCACACAGTCCATCAGGTGCCGCCTCTGGAAACTTGTAAGCTTGGACTCCTCCATCATTGCTGAAAAACATGGCGCATCTGTGAAGACTACAGCCTGAGAAGGCTCCACTCTTCACCTTTGGCAGCTAGGACAGGTGAAACGGCTTGGTAAATCAGCCCTGGGGAAAATCTCTACTTACAAATCAAAATCCAAAGCGGGGAAGATCAAATTATTTTGCAATTTCAGAAACATCACACCAGGACGCTCATATATAGATACGTTCACTGCCAGGTCTAGCATCTTGCTCTGTATGTTTCTCTCTCAGCTCTCCCTCGAGGGGATGAATTAGGGGGAGTGTTTTATTTCAGGAAAGACTTTCTTTTTTAAACTGACCACACAGTTGCTATATAGAAGCAGTAATAACCGGATCCAAACGCTCTGGTTCTTCACTTCCTTCAGGGCCCCCC